TTTTTTTTGTAGTACAAACCAAAGGCGTTTTTAAAACAGAATCTGCTCTATGCAAACAATAAACCACTTTTTACAAAACATTTTCACAGAAAAGGAGACAGGTCCTTCCCTAGGGATGTCAGTGGGAATCGTTCCTCCCTGGTCTAGTTTTTTGGGGGAAGAGGAGAAGCTATTCACTAAGGTGGCAGAAAGGTCACTGGGTCTCCCAATGGCTAAGCTGAGCTGTAGACACCCCCACCCTGGTTTCCCCTCACACCTTTAAACTGTGCAGCTCTCAGCAGTGTCCGTATCCTCCCCGACCTCACCTGGGTGGAGGCAAAGGGGCACCACTCCTCAGAGCTCCAGGGATCCTCTCTGCACAAGGGCAGAGTTCAGGCCTACTGCTCCCCTCTCCCCTCCCCCGCCCCAGAAAACAGAACCTCTGACTCCAAACCTAATCCTCTGACCCTGCCCCCTTCGGATCCATCAGATCGCTGACAACTCCCGAAATGCCTGAGGGCAGCCAGCGGCTGGGCGAGGAAGCCGGATACCTCACCCTAGGGCCGGGCCCACCCTAAACTCTGTCCCTTCAAATATCCCCACCGGACCTTTGTGGTAAAGCCAAGAGCAGGGAAGTCCTTCCAAAAGTTTAGCCTCTGCCTTTCAAGAGGGCCGAGTCTGGGTGTCCAGGGAGTTGGACCCAGGCCTGTCCTTTACAGGCACCCCCTCATCTGGCTATAAATCTGTGCAGAAGAGCAACTTGTTTGGTCTGATTTTTATTGATCTCTTCCACCTTCCATTACTTGTCCTGGGACAGTCTCTAGCCTCTTCTCCAGGCAGTCTGCACTGAGAGGGGTCGGCAGGGTGCGCACCGCCCAGCCCTTACTGAAGTCAGTCTTCCTGAGGAGCAACTGAGGGGAGGGAGCCTGATGATTCTAGGAGTGCATCGCTTCCACCCGTCAAACCTTACAAACAGAAAGGAGGGGAAACCGAACGGGAAACGCCAAAACTGGACCAAAGGCCTAGGGAGGTGGCTTAGAAGCCTGAAGACCCTGCCAAGTGGGGATCATCTGAATGTGGGAGCCCTAAGAAGGGGAGGGGACGGAGTAATCCTCCCCTTTCTCCTCTCCAGTAAGGCTCCAGAGGTGTAGGAGTGCTGGCCAGAGGGGAGTGAAGGGTTAAAGGGCTAGATAGTGGGGGTGGGGGATGCCCCCAGGGAGCTGCCAATCACCTCTCCACCCCCACCATGGACCCTTCACCCCCAGGCTGCGTCCCAGAAACAACCGGTTTGTCCATCCCCAAGGTCGGTCTCTCGCTCTCTCTCTCTCTCTGTCTCTCTCTCTCTCTTTGGTCTTTGAGAAGTTGCCTCCTTTGCTGCTCCTGAAGTGAAGGTCCTGCCCCGAGGTCCAACCGGAACAGGGGCGAGATTGGACTCATTAAGCTCCTTGGTTAAGCCTTCTCCCCGGCTCCGGCCGAAGGACGAGGGGGAGGGCGGCTCCCCACCCATCGCTTAGGTGCTTGAAAATCGCTGTCCCTTGCGGTTCCTCTGCCCACCGTCCAGAAAATGCCAGAAGAGAACAAGGCCCTCTCCTCGCGTCCTCCGTTTGCCAGTGGCCCCGACGTTCCCCTCTTAACCGAAGCGGACACCCCCTGCCCCCCACCCCCGCAGCACACGCTCATAGCTCCTCCAAGTTGATGCCCCAGAACTTGAGGCCTGGGGGCTCAGGGACAGCGGGACCCCCCATCTGCCACCTCCACAGCGGGTGGGCAGGAGGGGGCTTCGAGTCTCCCTGCAGACGAAGCGAGGACGCCGGCCCCAGGTCTCCGTCCTCGCCCACCACCAGGGCCGGGGGGCACGGGAAGCAGTCCAGGAGGCTGAAGGTGCTGGCGGTGGGCAGCGTCGGCGCCGGGCGGCGAGGCTGCGCGGGGCGCGGGGGAGGCGGCGTTGAAGCCGGCTGGGTGCCGGGAGCCGAGGACTTGGGTGGGGCGGCGTCGGTGGGGGAGACTGGGTGGGCCCCGGAGGTGGCGCCGCCAGCCGGCTTTGTTCTGAACACCCTTTAGGGAGCCTTTGGTGGAGTTGGGTGGGGGGCGCGGCTCGGGGAGGGTCCGGGGCAAACGTGGCCACCCCCTCCCCGGTGTGGGAGCGCGTTGCCCCTCTCCTGGGACTCCAGCGTTGCACCCAGAAAAGGGGCCTTGGGAGAGCTCGGGTGACGTGACGTCGAAGGAAGGGCTTCCTGTGTCTTGTGTAAAGACCTGCTCACGTGGAAGCCCGTCCACATGGGCTGCCTTTCAATGAGCTGGACACGGGGAGAAGTCCCCCTCCGCGGGGCCGGCCGCCCGGTCCGCGCCGGACTTAAGTAATAGTGACAGACACCAGGTTACTCAAGAGACCCCAAATGACGACAGCCCGGGTCTCTTCTTTAAACTTTGTTTCGTGTCGTTGTCACTGTCGAGTGCTCCAGCTTTACTTTGGAAACGACTGAATTGCCAGTCTTGAAGTAAAAAGGAGCCAGGTGACTGATGGACGTTTCTTTTGAGGTCCAGCCCGGTTAGGAACAAGTAAGTAAGGGATTGAAAAAGTTCCTAATCACAGGATAGTTCACTGTAGCTAAACGCAGTTGGAAGCGTAACTGGAGACTTGTATGCACTTTTATCTTTGCAACTTTCTAATACAAATATTTGATTATTTTACAGACACTTGCTCTAGGTCCTGGGAAAACGTGTCAATCAACTTGTATGTATGAGAGTGAGAAACACTTTTAGGATGCCATTGATGGGCTAGGAAGAGACTAAAGAGTGTGTGTGTTCGTGTGTGTAAGGAATTTTTTTTTTTGGTAAGGAATTTTTAACTGAGACGAACTTCCTCAAAAAGCTGCATTCGTAAGGCATTAAAATGTCAAGTGTTGGTAGATAGGGAATTTGGGTGAGATACTGTTCACCTGACACAGGCCATCTGAGAACTGATCATTTCAAAGATTTTGCTATGTAAAGAATAATAGACATTTTTGTTCAGTCCCTGCCAATGAGTTGATTTCCACTTAAAGTGACCCTATAGGACATAGTGTAGAACTGCCCCTGTGGGCTTAGAACCAGAAACAATAACTCTTTTTATACTTATTAGAAGAAACTATGTGGAATCTCCCCGATCCCCCACTGTCCACCATGAAAAATAATGGCAGATCTAGGGGTCCTAGTGGCACATGGTCGTAGCATTGTGCTGCTGTCTCCAACGGTGGGTGTTTGAAACCCACCAGTGGAGGGGGAGAAGGAAGGCTTGGCCACCTGCTCCCATAAAGATTGGGAGCAGTTCTACTCTGTCATATGGGGTCCTGGGAATCTCCTCAAGGGAGCCCGACAGTGGCAGGTCTGATAACTAATTTTAAAGTACTGACTAAATGTCTGAGTAATGACAGCTGAAACAGCTCCCATTTGCTAAAATAGCATTTTTGTTGATAAAGTATCAGGTATTGCATGCTACTGTGATTAAGTTCATAACTGAAGAAATTAAATAAATTAAATTTAACTAGGTTAAAGATACATTTTCCCTCTATACAAATTCTTAAGAGCCCTGGTGCCTTAGTGGGTTGTGCAAGGCCAGCAATGTGAAACTACAGGAGAAAGATGAAGCTTTTACTGTGCAGATTTACAGCCCCAAACCCATAGGGGCAGTTCTCCTGTGTCACTAGCAGTTGACCTGGACTTGACTGAAGTGACTTTTTTTTTTTTTGGTATCCAGGTTCGTGTGTTCTGTTGGCATGTCACTGCCCTCTAATCCAATCCAACTCAAAGCAACCCCATAGGACAGAGGAAAACTGCCTTGGTGGGTTTCTAAGACGGCAAATCTTTACAGGAGTAAACACTTTACCTCTAGGTAAAAATCTGCTGAGATTTTTGGGTTCCCATCTGGTATATTAGGTTTGCAATTCACATTTTTAGTAGGGGCAGAATTGCTTCCAAGCACTGGTTTGAAGAAAAATAAAACAACCCTATGCTAGAAGGGTGCTACTTTTAAAAGGTAGTTAAAAAGGCCTCTCAAGGTTGAATCAATAATTACGTGATACCTCCTGCTAGTAATTTATATTTTACATCGAACTAAAATCTGTGCTTTCACCTTTTGGGAGGCCTTATTTGAAGTATTTTCTTCAAAATCTTTCAAGTTTGTAAATAAGTTTTGTTTTAGATTGCTCTCTGGACAACAATGTATTGTGTAGGTATTATCCAGTAGGTTCAGCTCACAGTGACCCACTATGCAAGCAGAAGGAAACGTTGCCAAGCAAGATGCTCTTCCCTAGGCACTTCCTGCAGCCTGGTAACATGAGCACGAGACGAAGGTGGCTTCAAGTCCAAGGGACATTCTGACTGTACTTCCCTAACGCATTTCTTATTCTGGCAATCAGCAGCATAGTCAATATTCTTTAAACACGGTCATTCAAACACATCAAATTTTCTGATTTTCCTTGTTACCAGAGCGAGCTGGTTGAAAATACCATGCTTGGGGGGAACAGTATGTCAAAACCAAACCAGCTACCATCCAGTCAATTCCAACTAATTGAAAAAAAAAAAATTACTGCCATTCTGTCCTGGCTGATTCAGAGACCCTATAGGGTCGAGTCAGAGACCCTGTAGGGTGGAGTAGAACTGCCCCTATGAGATTCTAAGACTAATTCTTGATGAGAGTAGAAAACTCCATCTTTCTTCCAAGGAGTGGCTGGTAGTTTCGAACTGCTGACCTCTATATGTTGTTAGGTGCTGTTGAGTTAGTTTTGACACATAGCAAGAAAATTTACCTTGTTAATATTCTATATACCTTATACCTTTCTATCCCTAGTAATAGAAGGAATTTAGAGGGTATTGTGTATCAATGTGTGTAACTGAGTCACTAAAACCTACTGCATGGATATTAGACCCATTAAGTGAGATACTACACCAAAGGGCTCAAGTCCTTAATCCATTTTACCTTTTTTACACACAAATGCTGATGTTCTTTTATGGACCACTTCTTTCCCCATGACTTACAATCCATAGAGGGAGGTTTAATGATTTCTGCGTTACACATGGGGTCACTGTGAGTCAGTGGCAATAGGGACTGGACCTTTGAAAGGATCCATTTTTATTGCTCTATTATTAATGTGATACCTCTATAGACAGTTTTTAACCTTAAAAATAACATAAACAAGGTTGTTACCCCAGAGTAACTTGCTAGAAGGAGACATTCTGCAGATTTTTGTCACAGTAGGTACTCATGACACTGTTCAGTGAATGTGCCAAGTTTGGTTGTTAAGGATTCTTTTAAGTTTAAACTGCCAACTGAAACAAAACTTAAATTTAACATTAACTCAAGAAAACATTCTGCATAAAAATGTCAAAGTTGCTATATACTAAGTACTTAGAATGTGGGCATTCCCTGAGCTTGTCATAGTGCATTTTACATTTAGGAATATTAACTCAAAAGTCAAAGATGCAAAAGAAGATGCACAGTAGGAAATGGAAGAGTACAAGGTATCAAATAGAATGCTAGGTTTGCTTTTTTACAAATTTATAGAAAGTTATATAGTTATTTTTAGTGTAAGTGTAATTCTCTAAGACTAAAGCCACTTTAGCACAAGTTTAAAGCCACAAAATGCTCATTCTTAGCCTCAACAGTTTGATGCTGCCCCCTAGTGTGTAGTCCTCTTGGAAAGTCATTTTTGAACTGCTTCAACTTCATGTTTTCTTTTAAACAAAGCACCATTTAAATTAAAATTAGGTTCCTTAGTGCTATAAACTAATCTACCATGGAATTCCCTACAATATATGAGTGTTGCTCATAAATATGATGAACATATCTTTGAACTTAGCTTTGTTATAGGTATATCTTTTTTTAAGGTATATCTTTGAACTTAGCTTTGTTATAAGTATAGTAGTAATTCATTTAGTGTGAGCTTTTCTTGAAAATAGTTTTATAAAGATTTGCTTATAATTTAGCTCCATGTAACTATCAGCTTGACTGAATATAAAGTTCAAAATGTTAAGTGCACATGGTTGAGCTGTTCCTAAGATTCATGTTTATTTTAAACTGATTTTTTTAAGAATGGTACTTAAGGTAACTAACTGAAATGTAAAAATATAGTTAATAATAACATTGAAATTATTTTCCAAACTGACTTGTTAGGAGTCTTAGGTTCAGAAATGGTAGAACAGAACACAATCTCATAGTATGAGATTAAAATGTTCTTACCTGCTGTTAAAACAGAAGGATTCTTTGGACTACCAAATACAAGAACTGGATAGTTAAGAATTTAAGTGTTGAGTTGTCATGCTTAAAGATATTTTAGAAAAGGGCAGTGGTGATTGTTGATAAGTAGATGTGTTATAGAATCTAAATTCATGTTCAACTAGTGTTTTAAGTTATGTTCAGAACATGAAAACTAATATTGGATATTCTTATAACTAACACATTATTTTGTAGACATTTTGGGGCTGTCATCTCTAAGGATATTCCCCTTCACATGTACTGTAGTTTGGGGGACCATTCTTTTCTTAAAGGGTTCTTGGGAATTAGAAAGGCAATCAGTGCATAGGAAGGGTCCTTATCTTGTTAATGAGATGGTGCACTTTAATAGGACAAAATGTGCTATTGTAAGAACTGCTCTGAACTAGGATTCACATTATTGCCCCTGGAGGTGGAAAAGAATTGTGAAGCCCTGGGCCTTGAATAGTGAACACACCATTTCTACTATACTATTTCTAACAAGGCTGCTTGTATTCCTAGTAATTTCTTCCAGGCAGAAAACATGTATATTAATGTATGTTAATACATTAATACACTCCCCCCCCCACCTCGCCTTCTTCATAGAGTAATGCATAACCCACAGGCTTACTGGCAGATAATTTTGTGTATAACCTTTCTATATGCTTCTACTGAGGATATTTTAATTCATGCTATTTATATGTAATCAAGTATACTTGGAACTGTGTTAAATAGACTATAATAAAAATAGCATCTTGAAGAAGAGGGGCTATGGAAAGAATATTCTCTATCAAGATAAAACCTATCTTAAAAGATGTAAACTATTTAGAAAAAATATCTTATAAAATTATAAGATAGGCTAAAAAAGTTAGATCTAATACATACACACTTATTACATATGTATTTTAAAATCAGCACAATTTAAAAAATACATGTTTCACTGTACATGAAAGGGGAAAGGTAATAAAAAAAAGTACTCAATAGAATTGAAGCCCCTCCCCCCCTTCCAAGAAATCAGTATGGGTCACATTGTGTAAAAGCTCCTATGTTGATAAAAATGTTGGGATACTAAGAATACGAAATAAATTATAAAATCTTATTTTAGGAGTCCTGGTAGCATAGTGGGTTACGGGTTAGAACCCACCAACTACTAACTGCATGCAGAAAAGACTCTGCTTCCTTAGATTCACAGCCTTGGGATCGCTACAGGGTCACTATGAGTCAATTGACTTGATAGGGTTTTTAAAAAGCTTTAAATTTTATTTCAAAGTTAATAGTACCAAGTGCTAATGAGGGTATTAGTGTGATCATACTGCTGGTGGCAGTATAA